CTTAGGTAAAAAGCCTTTTTCTGGATTTCTGTAATGGTTTCTATGGTTTTCACTTTTGAGATGTTCTGCAGGCTGCAAAGGGCAGGAGATCCAAGAACTAACATGCACCTCTGCTCCGGAAACAGCCTGAGTGTTCTCGGAACAAGCTTGGATCTTCGAGCAGTGAAACAATTAAACCCCCTTAAATCCTGCACTCGTACGCAGCTGCTATCCAATGCCTATCAACTTAGAACACTTTCAAAGGGCGTTATAAGAAGGCTGGGACTACACCAGTGCCCAAACCAGCACACTGGTTTTGCGCTGATTATCTTTACCTGGGATTCTTTAGCAGCCCACAGGCATTTCAACTGACAGCAAAAAGTAAATGATTCACCAATACCAAAGTGGATTGAACTGTTGGAGCAGTAACCGATGTGTGTTTTCCCACTTTGTTTTACTACCCTCGGCTGAGCCCGAGGAACAGAGGATGGGAAGGAAGCTCCTGAAACTAAGACGCACTTTCTCACCCCCGTAAGACAGTACTATACGTTTTAGATCAAGTTCAGTTTGAAAAGCGGTCGTGTTATTCTTTCCTTTCCCCTACACGTATACTCATTTATATGAAAGCGGTTACAAGTTGACTTTAAAGATCAGGCTTCCTTTTTTGACTGTTCTATATCCATTTGTTACGTCAACTGTTTTGCACCTTACGATCCCCTCTCTGACCGTGTATTTCTATAATACGCACAGCCTAAAAAAAGGGATAAACCACACCAAGCTCTCCCTTAAATGAAAGACACAAACACAGCACATCTTCATCCACAGAGCATCCGATTGTTGTGCTACAACAACTGTGCTAATACAGGAAAACCATCACAGGGCATTAGGGAAGAGGTCAGTATGTCCACTTCAAAGTTGAATGCTGTTTGGAAGGAGTGCTGATTTATCAGGCGGCTAAAACAAAAATACTAAGGGCAATCCTTCTAACAAGCACATTAATACCTTCTGCATCCCACCCCTCCTTCCTGTCAGATACTAGATTATCACCAACAATCTGACAGTAACACATTTGAAGTCATTTAAATGAGACTTTTTTTTTTTGAAAACTTGATTATTTTTTCTCTTAAAAAAGTAACAAATTTCTTTTCCTCTTCCGTTCATCCAGAAGTATCCATGACTGTTATCGTGTTCCAAAGTAAAGACTGCAGGTACTGTACCATACAATCTTCTCTTTAATACTACAGTAAACATCCCCTTGTTTTCTACCTTGCACCTGAGTAGCATTTTCTCAGGCAAGAACAGGCATTCAGGGAAAAAGAGAGGCACGCTGTTGGGTAAAGGTGAATTTTATTGAAGTGATGGCCACGTGAAAAGGCCATCAAAGACATAGTTCCAACCAAAACACTTATCTATTCAGATTAGCAATTCTGAAATTACTACAACAAATATATTTTGACCTCTTCATACATTTGGTTTCTCAGCTTGTGGGTGGTAACTGCTATTTGCAAGGCTCCTAAGGGAGATATTTTCACAGTACCCGTAATAGTAGCACTAGCAGGTAGTTGAGGAGGTATTGGTGCACTGCGTGAAGCCAAGGCATAAGCCAAATGAAGCGCAGGTGGTTAAGCTGCCTTCAAAGCCACTTAGTGCAAACTAAGGAGAGTTTTTAAGTATTCCTTCACAATTTCAGGACAGATCATCTGTTACCAAAGCAAAAGGATGGAGGGCAATAGCCAAAGGAAGATTTGAATTTATTGAATAATCCTACCATGTATTCTCTCAATTATACTTTGGGGAAGCAGGGTCACAAAAGAAAAAAAGCAACTTTACTCCCCCCTTTCACTTCTAACGCGGGTTCCCTTTGGCCATCCTGAACCCCAAATCCCACTGGCCGCACCTACGCTACAGCCTGACAAGCTCTGGTGTTCCTGACTCTCACTCGCTTGCACAGATGAGTCTCCCTTCTGGGTAAAGGGAACACGAAAGGCAGATAACCGGCTTCTAAGGCAGCACAGGTACCTAAAAATTCAGCCACAGTGCACGCAGGCCTGGGAACTCTGAATCACGCCCAGTTTTAGTTTTTAATTAATACGTACTCTGCATAGAGACAGTAGAATCTCTATTTTTTTTTTTCTTTCTTTCTTTTTTTATGCCCTCCTTAGGCTTGGTCTGAAGGCAGGTTGATAGAAGAGTAAAAAGTGGTCCTAAACTTGTAATCTCCTTGGGCAGGGGTTACATGTTTTGGGAAACATCCTAACAAACACAGCACTGTGAAGAAAACAAACAAAAGAACCGGGAAGCAGAGGCAGCACAGTGCTCTTCCAAAAAAGAGCACCACAGTATATCAAGAAGCAGCAGTACTAGATAAAACTTTAAATTGCTTTTCGAAAGCAAATCACAGCTACAATGCCGTACATTACAAATGCAAATATATGACATACAAAAAGTTTTCTATGCAAAATAATCCTGCTTCCAGTCTGCACTCTTCCATGCCATTGACTGCGAGTGCATATTAAACTTTGATATATTTGTGTACAGACAGTTTATTGCCACAAAGGTAAGCTCTGGCCCTCTTAGCAACAGAACACAGTTCAGTAGCGGTTATTAAAATAGTTTTACATTAATTGAGATCTTAATCTTCCATTTAAAAAAAATAAAATAAAAAAATAGAGTAATGCAAGTTGTCCACTACATTCATAATACGTGAGTTTTACTACAAACAGTGAACATGCAACTTGGACTTGAAAGAAGTCAATAAGCAACTGGTATTTAATACAGCCAGTGATATCTGTTACTTGCATACATTTATTCACAGCTTACACTGTTAAATAATCTACAGTTCTGAGACACGTGCATTGTTAAAAGGAACGTCCCACAGCTCTTTAGCGATAGCTGAGCGGATGTCATGCAGAAGACTAAACCAGGTCAGCTGCAACTGAGTTGGAACCAAGCAAGACAAAGTCGTACCCTGCCACTCATGCGCTTCCCTTGTTAAAAATCACAGCAGGAGAGCGACTTGCACTTACTGGTACGCGTATTTCAGATCTCTCCTGTCGCTCTGTTTTGGCATTCTTTTGAGTGACATTAACCAAGTCCAGCTGTGAATAAGGAGTTAAGAGTTCAACACCCGAGATCTGGAGCAAATTGTGGATGTGGAAGATATGGTAATCGTTTCAAAAGCAAAAGCAAGAAAGCCTAAACGTAGCCTCATGTTCGCTGTCTACACTTCCAAGCTACAGCTGCCTAAAAGGCTCATCCCCACACTACTGTTTGTCAGTTCTGTGATCTGAAAGTCCAGAGAATGTTTTCACCAGTAGCACAAACCATAAAGATTCCAGTTACATATCGCAGGAGGGAAGGGATTAAAAAAGAAAAGGTGCTTAAGACTGTGGAATTAAAATACCTAAATAAAGCTTGTTGGCTCTGAGGACTGTGTACTGAAATACATACAAGCAGCAAAAACATTAAACCAAAAGCACTGTTACTGAATAGTTTATTCTCAACATGTGTTGCCTTTCTGCTGTTCTTCTGTCCAGATTAATCTCCGCTCTGGATAAGGCAGTATTAAAGGAATGAGCATCATTTCCTCAGGGACTCAACTAAGACACATAGGGAGAGAATATTATTTTGTACTGGTATGTATACCAGGGAATGATTCTTTGTAAAACAGTACAGAGAGCATGAAAAGATGCATGAAAAAGATAGAAAGACTCTGGTTGAAAGGTAAGCAGGGTTTAAAAACATTTGTACGCATTTCAATAACTTATAAATAAATTAAGATGGTGAAAGGCAGCATGGACTATAAAGGGGGAAAGAAGACTGAAGCTAAAATAAAGGTGCCGTGCTGATAACAGAAGTCGTAATTCTATGGCAGAGATTTATTTTGTTGAAGAAAACCAAACATTCTGTTGAATAACCTGGAGCAGAGATTATCTCATCCGTGCAAAAATTTGTGCAAATGAGGTGTGCAAAGACAGAGAAGTGAGAGAAGGGTATTATGTCTTCAATCATTAGAACATTTAAAAGATGCATCTATTGACAAAAGCTCTGTCCTTTTCTCTCAGAAGTTATTGTTACAAGTCTGACCTATGGACTCAGATTCTTCCTTTAGTGTCTTCAACACCCCTAAGTCAGTACCGGTAGCCTTTGCTGTACAGGCATCACTGCAGCAAGGAAACATTTCTTCCTGGTCTTGAACACAAACTTCCAAGCTCAGGGTAAAAAGCCATCACTTAAGCCCTTTCTCCCAAAGCTTCAGCTCGCTTATGACCTCTGATTCCTGGAGTACTATCCCAAGACTTCCATATATATGCCATCAATCTCTACTACAGTACCACGCCCCAGATGTGCCAAGCACTGTATTTCATATAGTTTTAGGCACCCTCTACATTTTATGGACCGTTGCCTTCATATTTTCAACCCAGCTTTTGCAAAAAACAAACAAACAAACAAAAAAAACCCCAACCAAGACTAAAAATTTAGTCAAGTCAAAGTAGAAAATGTCATTCCTGTTTCTTAATGATCTTACATTTTGTAAGCATCACCAGAGAGGAAATAACTCAATTTTAATTTCTCCAGCACACAGAGAATAACACTAACCATATAGATTAGCGAACTGACAAAAATATGTGAAAGAAACTGTAAACACTTCAAAAGTCTAAAGTCTAGTTATTCCAGTTACTATATTAGACCAAGTTTTTAGATCAATTTCAAAAGAGCCATCAGAGGTTTGTCAAATTCTGTTTCCAAGCAATCTGCAATTAATTTGTCACTTCTCATTATACTTCCGATCATCAGCTCTAACATTTACAAAAGGAACAGTTCACCGCTGTCAGAGCATGACGTAGGACAGTCTTTGAGAGCTACTGAGGGCTTCTTTCTTACAAGAGCCTAAAAAGCTGAAGATAACACACAGAAATAAAGGCATCTGTAGTTCAATGCTACAACACCAACAGAGTGTTCTTCTACACTAAGATTTCTCTTTTCGCAACCGTGGAATGTGTTTAAAGATTCCGCGCTTCCACCGCCTCATCGAAGTCCCGACCAGCTGTGGAGGTATGAAGCCCACCCGGAGGGCCGTGAGGTACTCTCTTCCTCACCTGGAGGAGGAAGAAAAACATACTTGAAATCAAGTTTATTATGTTAGACATTGCGTCATTTGGTTACATGACCTTGTTCCACCCTCCCCCAGCCTCCGTGGTTTTTCAAATGCTGTCCTCCTAAACCTGTTGAGGCGGTAGCATTCAATGCTCGCTCGTAGGCTGCCACAGATACGTTCAGGGACTTTATCGCCAAGTCCACTTCACGTTGGGTACTTCAGGATGTTTTAAATGAGGCCATTTATCACCTTTCTCCAGAAGAATCCAGTCAGCGTTCATTAGAGTGCCAGAAAAACGTCAAAACGCTATGGACTTGATTTACACCCCATCTTTCCAAATGCAAAGCCTATCATGGAACGCAGCGCTTCGCCACTTCCCTTGTTCATGTGGTTTTGTTCACAAGTTTTAAGTGCTTATATATACACGCTTACACTTTATTTTAAAATTAATGTAAAGAGTAAGGCAGCTGCTAATGAAGTACAAGAAGCTATAGGCTGTTATTGAGAAGTGACAAACAAAACCTTAACAAGTGTTTTTAAGGGGACAAATGCTCAAACAGAGAATTTGAAGCAGAGCCAGAATATTATACAGTCAGCTTTCGGGTTAGTTTCTTGCAAAGGCTTAACTCTTTCTTTCCTTCCCCAGTTCCTTTATTTATTATACAAAAAGCCTATTTTTTTGAAGAGATTTTAAAAGTTAATGTATTGAAACTAATACTAGATCAGCAGTACTGCCTTGAGAGGACCACTTTAATTATCTTTTTAGAACATCTGCCAAGAAAGTAATCCATTTATAGTAACCTCTATTTTAAGGTCACTTTGACAGAAATCTTTAACTCTACTCAAAACATGAAAACATTGCATCTTTACAACTTACTATCATCTTCCTAAAAATGTGTATGTTTCAGAAGAAATTGTATTTGACCTTAATTTTATTTATTTTTTGGGGTATTTGTTCTGTTTTCTGAAAACTGAACAGTAACTTCCCAACAGAGCAAAACGGTTTTATTGCCAGCTCCCTGGCATGATGCTGCTAAGCTTTGTTTTTCCTCAAAGGTCTACATAAAGGACAGCACATAAATTCAGTTGCCTTTATTTCCCCCTTTTTTTTTTTTTTTTGGTGACAAAGTTTCGGACACCACCTACCTTGGGCAATTGCAACTAGCTTCCCCTTCTCTTCAGGGCTGAGCTGCAACATGGTGTCTATCACTGGGAGCAGCCTTTCTTTCTCACTTCCTGATTTCAGAAATATGAACTGCAACAGAACATTCTTCAAGTATTCTAGATTAGCCACAGACTTTTCTCTCTCTTGATTTCTTTCCAATCTTCTTATTTCATTCTTAAGAAGCTGCAGATGAGGGGAAAAAATATGCAACATTGTTTGCTTCACATAATTAGCAATCAAACAAAGGTCTTTTAAAGAGCTAAAGAGTGAACTATGCAGTTTGCTTCAAAAAGAATAATGTGTGCATAGCAACATATTCTGGCCAAAAATCCAGTGAAAATTGAACAAGTGATAATGTTGTCCAGAAATAAATTTCCATTGATCAAAAATAACCTTTTTGGATAAAATCTGTGCAGTAGTTATAGTGATATACTGCACTAACTATTCAATTTCAGTGATAGAGCGCTGAACAGTTAAATAAGCAACATGGATCAAAGATTTAACAATATTATCATTCATTAAGAAACATTTTATGAAAGAAGGCTTAGCACGTTTACAGAATATGTTAACTTCAAAAATGTTTTCAGAAAACTCAAGAGAGGTCAATCAAATCAAACCAAACTATTAGTACACGCATCTCTAAACATGTACCTTCTCTTAATTTAAGACAGCTAAAAGGGCTTACAGGAAGAGAAAGCAGACAATGCTTCCCTTGGGATTTATTGCTTTTATTTAAGTGAAAACAGTAAAGGCACTTTCCTAAACATTAAACTTCCAAACTCTTGAGGGTTTATTTTTCTAGCAGCTTTTACACCCCCCCTCCCCCCACCTGCCAAAACCAAAGTCAACTCTGGAAGCACTAATTAGTTCCGTGGAATAAAAGCCCTTCCGAAGTTAAATTTTGCATCACCACAATTTTACAGACTGGGATTTTCTGAGACATATTTAGTGTTAAACATTTGGTCCAAGAGACAGACGGCAGATACCAGAGCTGTTCCCACATTTCCTGCACGTTTGCTAACCTTTATTTGTTCCATCAGGATTGCATTGGTTGCTTCCGATTCACGAAGTAATTCATTCAAGTGATCAGCACTCTTTGCTGTTGTGTTCAGTTTCTGAATTAGTTCATCCTTGGTGAGTTCTGTTTGCCACTGGGACGGTTCTGCAATTAATTGGAAAAGAAAACTGAGGGAAGGAAAAAGCACCTGCATCTACTTTCTACTCAGTTAGTGTTAAGACTTGATTAACGTAGTTTATCTTAGAAACAAAATCCATGCAAAGTCAGACTGCAAAATTAACAGGCATCGATGCTGCTGCTGCTGCATGCTGACTTTGTGATTGATATATGTAAGTAACTTAGAAGGGGATTGGCAAATCAGTTCTAAATACGTCAAGGTAAGTGGTTTTATTTTACCCCTTGTTTCCTACCCATAGATAAGAGATTTTCAACGGTTCTCCACAAAGTGTTCAGTAGGCGTCTAAAACATGATTAGACACTACCATATGTTTTTCTACTTTTTTGGGGACTCTTAGCACATCTTCACACTGGCTTTTGCTTTCCTACAAAAAACTATGAATAAATTCTTTTTCTAATAAGCCACATTAAGATGAACAGACATTTTATCCTTTCATTAATGAGTTAAATCAGAACTTTATTGTCTCTAGTAGAGACTAGTCCAGAATACAAAAAGTTCTGTAACGATTCACCAACTTGCTCATCCATCTTTCCCCTTTAGAAAGTCACAAATAGGACATCTTTAAATCACTAAAACCTGTGATTAAAACAATGTTTTATTGTTAGTCCTCACTCAAGGACAACACTCCTACAGAAATTCAGGATAGTGTAAACTCAGCGGCACTTAAGTACACCTGTGTCTTGCACCTAAAAGCATGAAAACACAACATTCTCAGGTATTTTGAAGGCAGAAATTTCTGCAACTTATGTAGGCAAGTGCTTCAAAACCCACATATTCTACCTACCAAGTTTTGCTTCTGGGGAGTTCAAAAGTTGTTCCAAGGATGGTACGTAGGTGCTGGCTGAAGAGACAGACTCTGTGTCTGTTGTTTCCATACCTTCTCCCTCTTCCCTAGCTACACTGTGCACGTCAAGAACGGGAAGGTCATTGTTTCGCCGTTCTCTGCAGTTCTTTGTTGCCGGATTTGAAACAGCTGGACCTGAAAGATACAGACTGATGTTTGTCATCAGAATGAAATTGGTAGGGCTACTTCACAGGTGTGGCTGTCTCCGATTGGAAAGTGGTATATAAAACAGCCTTCAAAAAGCAGGGGGAGGAAAGGTGAAGAAAAGGGAGAAAAAGCCAGATACACACATAACATTTACAATCCAAAATACAGCCTTTCACCTCCAAATGACCATTCCAATCAAAGCCTGTTTCTAAATCCATACTTGATTGGCAATTTTTACTTCAGTGACTATGAAACCTTCATGCAACCCTTCCTGAAGACGTGTTGTAGCTATGGTAAGAGCGTCAAACGTTTTTAATGCAAAACAGAATTGAGAGAGGTGTAAATTGTTCTGTTTTAATACTGTGTGCACCATCCTGCTGCTTCAATAACATATGGAAACGGTAACTTCTTAAACTGATGCCTGGCAAATATCCAACTACATCCTAATTAGTAACTTTATGGATATAAAAATAGTATTTGAGCTTGAACAGTAAGTAAAAGCTTAAATTAGAAGAGGGATCAAATAGCAAGTATACCAATAACAAACATTGTCAAAAGAGCTTTCAATACACTTTTCTTCTGCTTTACCCCTCATACTGGAGGCAGAGGTCCAGTACGCTTCCAAAATCTGAGACAAACTGATAGGAAGGACACTGAACATTTACAAAGTAATTTCCCTCCATCTGTCTGACAATGCAGATACTGCAGAAGCTGTAACATGAGGCAGATTCTAGAACAGAACAGAACAGTTCCAGTTGGAAGGGATCTGCAATGACCATCTAGTCAACAGCCTGACCACTTCACGGCTGACCAAAAGTTACAGCACGTTGTTAAGGGCATTGTCCAAATGCCTCTTAAACACTGACAGGCTTGGGGCATCGACCACCTCTCTAGGGAGCCTGTTCCAGGGTCTGACCACGCTCTCGGTAAAGAAATGCTTCCTGATGTCCAGTCTGAACCTCCCCTGGCTGGTGCAGCTTTTAAGCCATTCCCACGTGTCCTGTCCCTGGGTCCCAGGGAGGAGAGACCAGCACCTCCCTCTCCACTTCCCCTCCTCAGGAAGCTGCAGAGAGCAATGAGGTAACCCCTCAGCGTCCTTCTCTCTAAACGAGACAAACCCAAAGTCCTCAGCTGCTCCTCACGGGACCTGCCTTCCAGCCCTTTCACCAGCTTTGCTGCCCTCCTCTGGATGCATTCCAGTACCTGAAGATTCCAAAGGGGCAGTAATAACAAAGTCACGTTCCTTACTTGGCCTCAGTGGATTGATACGGCATGCTGCAGATTCTCCAGAACCACACCCTATAAGCATGTTTTAGATTCAGACTCAGGTAACAAGGATTTGTATCTCACCCAAGAAAACCTGGTATTAGGACTGAAAGTTACCTCTAGTGCTTGGTTCACTCTTGAGTTGGAAGAGCTGAGCTTCTACTCTGGACAGCTGCTGCTGAAGTGTCTCTACTGTCTTCCTGTGCTCTTCCTGCAGGTTCCTGACTTGATCTCTGAAATTGTTCCGGAGAGCTTCATTCTGGGCTGTCAGCTGACTCAGAGTCTGGGCATGCTCTGTTTTCATGACCATGTTCTCAGATTGTATTGTGCAGAGCCTGAAAACAGCGTATACACAAACCATAAGAAACAAACAGCAAAACACTGTCAGTTTTACATTTCAAAATTTTTAGAGTTTAAATTAGTTTTCAATTTTCATGTGTATGATTATCTTAGAATGACCATGCAACTTTTTTCCATTTAAATTTCTCCTTTTACAGGGAAAAATCTAAGAATGAAAAAGTTATACTTGACCTATTATGTGAATGCACTGTGCTACATAAACTCTTGATTTCCATTTCAGAGTACAAAATTGACATCTTTGGGAAAAAATGAAAATATTACAGACACTGTGGTCTAAACATTCTTGAACTCTAAAACTGCAACATGACAGTCTGTGGTGTCATAGAGGGCACGTCACTTACCTTATATTCCTCTTCCTTTAACTTTTATTTACCAAACATTTATGCAGGACTCCTGAAAACATAAGTTTCTATGAAGCTAAGTTTAATTATTTTTAAGCTTCAACTTTCAGCAGAAAAGAAGGCAGAAGAGTGTAGTCGTTAGCAAGAAAAAATGTCAGTACCACATCAGTTGTACTTGGTTTGGAGGTACTCCAGATGCACGACAAAACTGCAATTAAACAAGTGCATGTATGGGAAGACTAAGCATAGGGCTTGCCCTTATAAGAATACAAGCTTAAATATAGCTGAGTAGCAACGAGCTTGTCTCTCTGGGTACAAAAGGAACCTACTGTGATATGGGTTGTTTCCAGAGAAATGCAGAAGGACATAGTTTAGTTGATTACAATGAATCATCATGTGGCTATTAGGAACAGACAAAACAGTATAAAGATAGTGACAAGAATTCAACAGTTCCTAATACTAAGCTGTAACTTCTAATCAGTATTTCATGTGAACTTCTTTGTACTCTAAATAGAGAAGAAAAGACAAGGAAAAAGCTCAAGTATTAGGTACTTGTGTGATTTTTCAAGAATTGATACAGGTTAAACAGATTCATTTTGAAAGAAACAGCAAATTAAGAGTGTAGCAAGCACAGACTTAAAACTCAGCAATTTCTGTCAGAAAGGCACTCAGTGGACACAGGACTAGATATTTTGTCAGTGAAATCATTTGCTCTGCATTTAACTACCTTATTTTTCTAATAGGAAACATCCATAACATTTAGTTGAGCAGTCCAACACAAACATAGTGCTGAGCAATGGACCTCAAAACAGGCAACGTGCTTAAAAAAAATGTTAATTTTTCTATCTGATAGTTAACAGGTAGGAAGTTCGCAGAAATATCAAACTGTCTGATCAGCTACTACTACATTTTCATTGCTGAAACTTCTGAAGGCTCATGAAAAATAGCAAACAATCCTTTTGGAATTTACTTTCTTAACAATTATGCCCTTTCTTTGGGAAGTAGTTACAGGCCACTACATGCCCAGCCCATAAAGTTCACACAAAATAAAATATCTATATCTATTCAATCAGCAGACCATACTTTTCACGGAGTTCTGCCTCTTTTGCAACAGTCTCTTGCAGCATCTTATTGTGTCTTTCCAGCAGCGTGTCGTGTTCAGACTGCAATGCCTGGAGTTCAGATGCATTCATCTGTGAATTATGCTGAGCATCTTGCAGCTTAACTTTAAGTTGATCTATCACCATTTCCAACTGCTCTCTACAAGGGGAAAAAAAAAGAAATGAACAACATACATTTAAAAATAACTATATTATTTCATAACCTATATTATATCCACAACATCTTGGGTAGCTGACCCAAATTGCTTATTTATTTATTTGGACCATGACCAAAATAATCTTACAATGTGACTTTAGCAGAAACAATTAGAAAAGTTCTGATCCTGTTTCAATATAGGTACAAATAAGTTTATCACATCCCATCTGAGCTGCTGGGAATCTAACTATTGGGGTAGAAAGAGCGGATAATAGCACTTTATACTTCAAGCTGGTTTGGAGGAACAGGACAGAAGGAGAATAATATGTAGGATGCAGATGGGAGAAATAATTTCTTAAGAGCAGTGGGGTTTTTTTGTGTGTTTAGTAAATGCACATTAGTTCAATGAGATTGAATACAGCAGACCAATGTTTGGAGCAGATTTTGAGCAAAGGACTACAAAGCAACATCAATGCATAAAACCATAAACTCTGTTGGTCAGAAATAAATCAAAACCAGATACACCAGGAGGAAAAAGTCTTTAAGTCACGCACATTCTGCTTTTATGCTTTCTGTATTTATATATGCAGACATCTCCATTATCTCACGAATTGTATATCTCATTAATCCTTAGAGTTGATACTTGTAAATCATTTCTTTGAAAACTATTTTTCATCTGTTTATTACTTGATTACTTGTCCACTTTGTTTCCAAGATGATCCTTTTTCACAAAGACCTAACAAAACCAGAATTCTTAAAATTCTGCAGAAAAGGAGAGACAAAGAAATGCAACTCTTGCAGTTCGCTTGCTTCAAAGGAAAGAAGAGGTAGCTGTATTTTAAAAACCCCAAACCATAACCAAAGTCCTCTAACAAAGCACAAGTCTCCCTCTGGCGGATTTTCAGCCGCAATTGCATGTACTGCTTTAAGATCTGTGTCAGAAATGAATGTTGACATCTCACACATAACCGCCCAGTCCATAAACCAAGGACAGCTATCAAAAACTTAGAAAAATAACTTACAGAAACTGATCTACTTTTGCAGTGGGTTCAGACACTTGCTGAAGTGAATCTGAATTGACCTGGCTTATGACCATACTTAAATGATTTTCAGGGAACTTTCAGCAGTGTAACTCTTTTTTTCCAAGTCTTTACTCATGTAACAGCTGATAAGACAATGGTATTTTGTAAATCTACTGGAACTAATGACTGAATTGGCAGCCAGAGCTCTACCCACACTAAATCATTCCTTCCTGAAAGTGTTCAAAGTGAACTCAGCTGAACAGTACCAATCCGCTCTTTCCTTCTTAGTTGGAAATGGCACTTCGCTACAATACTGTACATCAGAGAAAATGACGCGTCAAGTCTAAACAGAATAAGCTGGCTAATTTCTGCTCAAGACTATCGTAAGAATCTTCCTGACACCTTACTTCTCCCTCTGACCGTAACAACAGGTATAATCTACACAAAAATAAATGTTAAAAAAGACAAATTGAGGTATTAGAAACTAACATAGTACCACCATGGTACAAATTTATGATCCTTCTTCTGTTCAGACAGGCAGAGCCACAAGTTAGATGACAGATCAGATAACGTTTGTAGAAATAAAGAGTGGTGGTTTTTTGGTTTTTTTTTTTTTTTTTTTTAAACCGAAGTAACTGGGGAAGCAAGCTGCCTCCCTTCTGGTATTTTCCTTATTGAAGCAAAGAGTTAAATAGTGGAACTCCCTTGTTGGTCAGCAGTTAGCAAAGGCAAGCTCAAAAACTTGAGTATCAGTATTTTTCTGTATGCATATAAAAATGTTAGTTTTACCTTTCTTGCTTGGCTCCCTCAGATTCTGTCTGAGAAGCAGATTTATTCTTTTGCTGTTTTAGAACATTATGAACACGGACTTTGTAGCTCTCGAATTCAGATGTAACAGATGCTTGTTCAGCCTATCACATAGGAAACAAACATTTAATAAGTTATGCTATTAACTATTGCTCCCTTATTTCTCCAAAAATGAAAGGCATCTTACATTGGAAAAAAAAAAAATTAAGAACAACCTGTTGCATTTTCTTCTTTCAAATGACAATTAGTATAGGGGCTACCACAACAGATCATGTTTCTTCAGTTTTTAATTGAATATCATAAAACACGAAACTTAAGACACACTGATTTTCAACAAACCAGTATTAAAGAAATGAAAGAATATATGCAAATTCAAAAATCACTTTCAACAGATTTACAAGCAAGGGGTTCTATCAAACAGCTGTAAATTAAGGCAAAGGTGAAGGAAAAAAAAGGGATAATTCTGTTTTCCTTTTGTACTATCCAGGTGATAAAAATCTAATACATCTTAAAGTTATCCATAATTTTGAGGAGTTGGTCTTGTAGTAGTAATACACAGCACAAGATACAGTATTGCTAGTTGACTGTAAGGGTGTTTGGTCTGTCTTCTAAATTCAGCTGATACCCAAGTTTCCATGGACATACAGAAGAATACTTCACAACATAGTAGCTTCACCTCTGACTGTACAGTATATAGCAAGTATTATTCCCACCCTTCAAGCACTTATGTTGCATATTCCTCTAAGAAAAAACAGATGGAAGTTTTCATTCTTGGATCTTAGCAGAAGCTCACAGATTCTTTAGCCTAAAATGCTTTCATCTTCAAGAAGAGGATTTTGGAAAGCTTCTCTTCAGCTGAACTGTTGAGTGAAATTCCACAGTGCTGACCCTGATTAGCCACTGCTCCAGCTTTTCTGGAGTCTGTAGGATTTGTGGGCATTTTCTTTAAATTAGTCCTTCTTTCTTCTTCCTGTCAAACTATGTGAACTAGAATATTCCTAAGCCCTCAGGTACACAGCCTTACATGAATTATAGAATATCAGGTTGGAAGGGACGTCGAGGATCATCTCGTCCAACCCTGAAAAGTCACGTCAGCATGACTTTTGCCTTCTTACCTACTATCTGCTTTGGTGTCCACCTTTCCTTTAGACGCAATTTTCCTTTATTAATAACACTGTAATAATATCTATTTTCTAGATGTAGGGCACCTAAAGAGGAAGGTGATCTTCCAACAGCCTCAAGCTGCGCCATCATGGAAGATCTACACCCTTACTCGTTTCACAACATCAAGGCACAAGACACCGTGGACAGGTACTGTAAGTCCGCAGTTATGAAGAATACATTTGTAAAAACCACGATCCCTATCTAGCAGCACAACTCAGGCAAGCCTCCTGCAGCAGCAGCAACCACAGAGTCTGCCCATTTCAGTTCCCCTTTTTAAAATGTAAACGTTTTTTAATAGGCTGCATTCAGCTCTTACAGCTTATCTGCAGGACGCACACCTACCAGACAAAAGCAGCCATAGTGCGGTGCAGTAATCTCCATAAAGACAGTTTGAATACAACAGTCCTACTATAGCCTGAATGGGTCTGTCTCCAATGCCAACACCAGATTCCAGGAACATCTAACAGTGTCATATGGACAAAAAAACAGAAATAATAAAACCCTCAGCAACAGTGTTGGTTTCACACATAGCCCAGCTGCCAATTAAGAAGCTGCTCATATAGCAGCATATTAAAAGGTGTTGGCAAATATATTTTTCAGTTGGTTCTTTGTTTTTGGTGGGTTTTTTTGTTTTGTTTTGCTTTTTTTGTTTTTTAAAATGGTAAACTGTGTTACCTGGTTTTATATGGAGCAAATTATATTCCGTTTTTCTTTGTTCTTCTCCACTTTTATTTAAAGAAGACTTCCCTTTTCCCTGCAATGTACACGTGCTGATCATCTTAAATAAATTGACTCCCCACTACCACTACAAGGTTTTCCCTAGTGGAAATATAACAGTGCAGTCCAGACATTCTACAAGCGATACATGACAACCAGGACTGAGTCTGTCTTGTCCTCTATACCACCACTCAAATAAATTAAGCACTGGGGTAATTTCCAATTCTTGACAGACAAAAAGAGTGAAAGATCTGCAGAGTATTTTTAGAGAAGCAGACAGAGAGTGCAGTAAATCTCCCTTCTAAAGTCTCTGACACTACTCCTTCCACTAGAGTACCTGGGCTGCTCTGCACTCTTCTTGCAAGGTTGCCATTTTTTGCTGGTAAGCGCTCAACGTACGCTGGTGTTGCTCTGAGGAAGTTCGCAAGTGTTCCTGAACTTTGTGCTTTTCCGATGTCAGAACAGCCACTTGAATCTGAAAAAGTCAGTTGAAAACTTCACTATGACAAAAGTTTTTTCTTCTGTCTCCAAGGGGACGTGTCACAGAGAACACAGGATTCTACTACAGTAATTCCTGCACAGAATTGGTGAATATAAAATTAAAATCCAATAAAAATAGAATAAAAAAAAAGATAGGGGTTACCACATACTTAATAAAAAAAAAATTCTTTAAAGAGAGAATTGAAGATAAAATTACAGTGGTGGAGTTGCAGCACTTAAGAACGCCAACCCCTCTCCCTTCCCTTCCGCACTATCTTTCATTACATTCAACTGTTCTGCCCAACCAACAAAACTTAGATGGACAACACTTGAGATCTTTGCCAAAAATATTGCAATGAATAACTTCTATTTTTAAGGGAATTATTTTAAAACATATCCTAGTCCTCTACTTGGGTGGAAAGGGAAAGGAAAGAGAAACAAGAAAGGATAAACCAGTTTAAAGAACACCACAGGGGACGTATCTGGGGAAAGCAGCAAACAGACAAAACTCATTTAAGAAAAAGAGCCAGTAAAACCTAGCAGTAAAAACAACAACTTGTCATTTTTCAGTCTACATTCCATCCACCCAGTAGAAATCACACCCTTATTACTGAAATAAGAAACCTTATACTAACAAAGAAGTGAAGTTTCTTGCCTTATAGGCTTCCACTTGTTGTTGACTGGCTTCCAGTTCCCCTTTTAATGATGCCTGCAACATTAGATGGTCATTTTCCTGCATGACAAAATTATCTGGTTATTAGAAACCCCCAAACTTCAGCAACTTAATCCATCTACCAGCCCGTTCTTTAAAAGTTAGTTTAAAAATGGAGTACACAGTCATTAACATCTGGACTTACAGCTTGTTTTGAATCAGCCAGTTCTTTTTTTGTTTTCACCAGGAGTTGTTTTATCTTGGCACTTCTTTCCTCATCCTGTTGCATAGTTGACTGAAGTGACTCTAATGCAGAAAACAGTAGTTATATACAAAGGAAACTTACCCTCCTATATTTCCTTAAAAGTACTCGAAAAAATTTAAGTGAATTCTGACAGATTTCTTAAGAGATGCAAACAAGTAGCTTACAGCAAATTTAGTATCCTATTTCCAAGTATCACAGAGACCTTCAAATAAATGAAACTGTTTTAAGACTTACACTTAAGGATAGGAAGAAATGAAATTTTTAACCGTATGCTAACTAAGGAAGTTTTATGAGTGTGGTATGTCAGAATGAACATGTCAGTCACCAACTTTAAGAACTTACGGTTAACCTAACCAGGTAAGAAACAGTTTCAGGCAGGCAATTTGGTTTTTATTTGCTGAATACTAGATCAAGTGACTGATAATCTAGTAAAGTTTCCTTTAATGGAAAAGTAATTTTGACTATGCAACTGTTTACTATTCCCTGCAAACCTTACTCTCACTCATCGACTTGAGAAGTTGTTTCTGATTTGTATTTTTTTTCCACTACTAACTATACCATAGTGACTCTTGCTGTTTATAGTTTACTCACTTATTTCTTCCTGTAAGGTCTCTTGCTTCTGTTTCTGAATCCCCGTCTCTTGCTCGAGATCTTCTATTCTGCTGTCTTTATCAGTAATCTTCTGATTAAGTTCTTTTACTAGTCTTTCATAATCAGCTATTTCCATATCCATCAGTGTACTCTTCTGAGCATCCTGCAAGTTACACACAATGAAGTTACAGTTTACAGTCTACCATGGCTGCTAGGATTTTTACTTTTTATTTTTTTAAATTACATTAAAAAAACCCTGTATTTCCCATCTAACAAAAACTTTGTAACTATCCATATCCACATGCAACACCCATCAATCTATCCGGTTTCCATATCCTCAGTAAATAATCTGTTTTGAAACATAAATCAGAAGCTTTGAACAACCCATTGCTACTTTTAACAGTTTTACCAGGAGGTATTTTGCAGATACTAGTTCTATCATCTTCAGTCCTTACAGCAAGGGTAGCTTCTGAATAGTGCACCATAAATGTGCTCCAGACATCTGAATTTTATTTTTAACCCTACTCATGACAGGCTGCATAACCCAAGCTAAAACAAACAAACCAACCCCTAAACCCAAAAGCACACATCAGCTCTCCAAACACAAAACCAGGGGTAAAAGCTCTCATGTTTTCCCTTTTGCAAACATCGGGCTTTAAAATCCTCAGAACAGAAAGGGATACATTCAACATAGCATGACGGGTGCCAAAATCTTTGGTAGTCCTTTAGGCACTAACATGAACAGCAACCCTACCTTTCTGGCCAGCTCTAGTTCTTGCATAGTTTTCTGCAGATGCTTCTTTTCCTTCTGAAGTTGCATCTGAAGCTCCTCCATTTCTTTGAGAGCACTACTATGTTCCTGAAATTTAAACACTTCTCAATTATGCAGTTCAACTTTAATACAGACATCAGCATCTATTTACTCTTACACACACACTTGTACACAGATAACTGCTTCCTTTCTTAGGAAATCACTGGGAACCAATGGAAAACCCAGATTATGAAATGTTTTTCACATCCTGTAACAAACTTTAGATGACGGGCTTGCAACGTTCTTTCAATGAATGGACTAAGCCTTCAAAAAAGCCCGAGTCAAGTAACAAGAAGAGAACATATGGAACTTGTTCTACAAAAACAGAGTTTACAAAGGTCTAAAAGAACTCACATCCAGCCAAAGTAATACTTCAGCCCTTTCACCATGTCTACAAAGTACTACCTTTGTTTTCTGTTCTTTTAGAAGCTTTTCAGCTTCTAGTTCTTTGTCAGCCTTTGCCTTGGCTCTTTGTATCTCCAGTATCTGAGCTTCCAGCAGCTTAGCGTTATGTTGTAGTGTTTCAACACGAGCCAGGAGGTCTTCATTAGTAGAGTGTAACTGATCATGCTGAAATGGTCAGTGGAAAGACAAAAATGTAAGCTGAATTTGCATGTGACTGACAGGTAGGAGACTGTCTATATTAAAAAACAAACACTGATTTCTAACCAACTCCCTTACAAACAGCACTCCTACAGATTTAACTGTTTTAAACCAGATTAAGAAATAGGCTAAATTAAAATCAGTAGCACAATTTGATTATTTTGTTCAGGGTTTACTTACCCAGCTTTCCGTGAAATAGCTAGAATCACAAGAAATCTGAAAAAAATACCCCAACATCTACACTTTCTGCAAGAATCACCTTCCTCCCACAATAATATGCAACGTTTGAGTACTTACTGCCCTACTTGAGATACAGCTGCTATATTTATAAATAAATGATCATACTATTAATTCCTAGAAAACATTTAACTGCTGCACCACCAAGTCTTCACATCAGAACACAGTAAGAACGACTCCTGTATCTGGGCTATTTTTGTAATGATTTTAACAGATTTAATTTTTACACCTTCAGTGTTTTATCTCTATTATACAGATTAAGAATGAAGTGTAAGTGAAAGAAGCTACTAATTAACTAAACAGTGTTTTTATTTAGAAAATACTTGATAGCAAACTTGATACATTAAACAACACCTGCAGAACCAGCAAATATATGCTACTATTTGTCATTTCTTCCTATGCTATTCACTACTAACTTCTGTTTATAAGGAAACGGTGGCCTAGGCGGTTCTTCAGTGTAATTATGTAAGGGGCCTGGCAGTTACATCCTAAATCCCAAACGCATTGCAGTTTTCTTTGCGAAAATGTGTCTCACAGCTGCTTAATTACCATCTTAGACTCTTCTGAATGCCACTACAGTACTCTACAACGCATCCTAAAGTCTCCTCCTTGCGAAAGATGCAAAAAACCGTAATTAATTTTGTATGTTTAAACACTGTTGATTAAATAACAAAAACAAATCTTGTATTTTTTTCTTCTGTTTCTTAGACAACAGTTAAAGGTTGCTGTACTTCATAAGAAGTGTAGACGTGAAATCAGAGAAAAGGCACAAGTTCGATACTTTCTTTTTATGTCTGGTACACGCATCGGAGTTGTATGTCCAAACCAAGCCAGAAGCGATCACCCGCTCTTTTCTGAGAGTCAACCTGGGGTAAATTATACCCTTTCTGCTGAAAAATCCAGACATTCCAGATACGTTTACCCTTGCCACAGCCCAGATAAGATATCAGACGTTGAAAAAAACAAATCCCAAACTAACCCTGAATTTCAAGTCACTATCCAAAATGCACTGAGGTTATGAAACTATATATAGTAACAATCACACGAATAAAACTTACACTCAATAGGTAAAGTAATTTTTACTGTAATTATCAATAGATCAGACACACACACAGAACTGACCTGCTGGGATGACACCTGTAGCTGTCTTGTGAGGTCATCTATTTGACGTTCAAGATTATTTGCTCTGCTTTTTTCAGAATCCAGCTGCTCTCCTTGCTTATCGTATTCCATCAGCAGATTCTTAACATATACAAACACAAACCGATAATTTTTTACAATATACATTGCATAAGCACATTCTAAACCTCAGACGCTTACTTATCTTCCTAATATTTCAGCATCTGAGCTTTCTTACTGCAACATCAGAAATACGAGAATGAAATTAAAGCTATTGTTCCATTACAGGCTCTCTGAGAAACCCTTTTCAGTTCATGAAATTCTAGAATAATTCAGGTTGGAAGAGACCTCAGGAGGTCTACATTCAACTTCCTGCTTAAAGGTTGCAGTGAGATCAGACCAGGTTGCTCAGAGCTTTGTCCAGTGAGGTCTTTGACCTCTGGGCAACCTGTTCCAACATTCAACCATCCTCATAGGGTAAAAATGTTTATCCATGCATCCAGCTGGAATCTCTCATTTCAGTTTAGGACTACTGTCTCTCATCTAGCACCACCATTAATAACCTGAATTTATTTCCTTGATAATGTCTCTGTAGGTACTGTAAGGCTGCTATTAGGCCCCTTTGAAGTATTCTCCAGGCTGAGCAATTTCTCAGCCTTGTACATCACTTATTCCAGTCCCTCAACCACCCTGGTCACCCTCCACTGAAACTGGTTTGGGTTATCAATGTCTTTCTGGTATCTGGGCGGAAGAGGAGGGACAAGACTGGTTGCAATAGTCTCACCAATGTCATAGAATCATTTAGATTGGAAAAGACCCTTAAGATCATGGAGTCCCACTGTTAAGCGAGCACTGCCAAGTCCACCACTAAACCATGTCCCTCTGTGCCACGTCTACACGTCTTAAACAACTCCAAGGGTGGCAACTCAACCACTTCCCTGGGCAGCCTGTTCTAGTGCTTGATAACCCTGTCTGTAAATTTTTTCCCAATATTCAATTTAAACCTCTCCTGCCGCAACTTGAGGCCATTTCTTCTTGTCCTCTTGCTTGTTCCTCGGGAGAAGAGGCTGACCCCCACCTCCTTTCAGGTAGCTGTAGCAAGCCATAAGGTCTCCCCTCAGCCTCCTCTTCTCCAGACTAAACAACCCCAGTTTCCTCAGCTGCTTCTCACAAGACTTGTTCTCTACACCCTTCACTTTCACGGGAGTGCTGACCAAAGAGAGCTAATTACTTTCCTTGACCTACTAGCTGTGCTCCTGCTCTTGCAGCCCAGGATGCTGTGGTCACCTTTGGTTCCAGAACACAGTTTTCTCATTCTCAGTGCACTGCCTACCAAAACCCTGAAACTCTTTTCAGCGGCCGCATGGTCCCCAGCTTGTATCAAGGAGTTCCCCTCTCCCACATGAAGAGCTCTGTGTCTGTCTTTGTTGAGTCTGTCTTTGTTGAACTTCAGAAGGTTTCTATCAGCCCATTCCTCACGCCTGTCTAGGTCTCTCTGAATGGAAGTCCTGCCCTCAAGTCCATTGACTGTTCCCAACTGGGAATAATCTGAGAACTTGATGAGTGTGTGCTCCATCACATTGTCCAGGTCACTGTTAAACAGGACAGGTCCCAGCACAGACCCCTTTAGCACACCATTTATTATTGGCATCTAGTACGAGGCAGCAATTGCTACTCTGAGCCAAACAATGCAATTTCTTTTTCCCCCTATTTTTTAAGCACCCATTCAGTTGTTTACCCATTTAGATCACAATGTCCTAGCACAGATACAAGAGTACAGTAAGAGAGCATCAAAAGCCTTCCTAAATACAAGTGACACCCACTGTTCTCCTCTCATCCCCAACTCCAGCTGTTTTATCACAATTAATCAGACACAATTTACTCTTGGTGAATCAATGCTGACCATCCCCAGCCACCTGCTTCTGCTTCATGTGCCCACAGATGTGCTCCAAGGACTCGCTCCCAGGGGATTGTTAGTTTATGTCTGTCACTTAAGGACGTTGTAACTGATCCCAAATTTAACGTACTTTGAAGAATTCATAAGGATTTATGCCTTGCCTCAGCAACACGCTATTTGATATGTATGATGCTAGGTTTAAAATGCTTGAGAATACCATCTGGTAGGAAGGTAGTGACTTATTTTCTTCTGAGAGCAGCCACACAGTTCTGTTACTAGAACCTTACATTTCTTGATTTGGGTACTCAACTTCACTGACATAATTTCTTTTGCCAAACGTACTTGTGCAAGTAAATAGCAATATATATCAAGGCTAGTCTTCAAAAGCAAAGTATTTTCTGACAGTTAACTGCCTTTTGTAAATTAGTACTGTTCTTACCTTATAGCTTTCAGCTCCTTGAATGACATCTTTCATTGAAGCAGACAACTGATCTTTTTCTGATCGAACCAATTCCAATTCTTCCCTCAGAGTCTGCACCTTATTAAAAGAAGTGTGCGTCATTAAAACAGAACCCCACATGCAGAATGTTCTTCATATTAAGCAGCAGCCAAGGTACCTCTTTTCGGCTGGCATCTAATTCTTTCTTTGCTTTCACAGCAACAACCTTAATTTTATTTAGCTTCTCCCCTTTTTCTGCAGATTCTTTTTCCAGCCTTCCTAAAATAAATAAATAAGGAAGTGAAAAAATACGCCTCCCTCTCGCCCAAGAAATGAAATTCAATTACAACACCAATATCAGCATGACTTAGAAACAAAACAAAATATAAATCAGGGGAGATGTTCAAATGTTTCATTCAGTTAAGCATTTAAATTTAATTTGAAACTAGAACATCCAGCTGCACAGGCAGCTTAGGGACAATCTTCCCCTGTTTCAGAGGCTTCCATCACAGTTAATGTTAAAAGCCATATTCCTGACTGCTTCTACATATAGTGGTAACAACTTGGAACCATTTTCTTTCTAATGCATTGGGATAACGGCAATGAGGCAACAGTACTTTTGGCAAAGCCCCTCTCTTGGGAACCTTAGGGATTCTTATTGACGCATTTATTTCCCATGTTTAAAAAAAATAAAGATGAAATCCACTACACTGTTTATAGCCAGATGTACACAGGAAAAAGAAACCTTAAAAAAAATCAAATTATAACCAACTTAAGATTGCTAACAATTCCTAATGGAAGGAATATTGTAGTAAGCTGCATTGCTAGCTACTTCCCCACCTTCCCTGGCTTGTAGGAAATACGGGACGATTATGCAGAGAAAGAAAAAATAACAATACACAATCCCCAAACTGTTAACATGAAAGAGAAGAGCAAGAAAAATACCAATTTTTTCTTGAAGCTCTGCTACTGAAGACTGTTGATCAGTTTTCTCAGTCAATGTCTCAATTACATTCTGTATTATAAACAAAGATATAAGTATTACAAAAATTTCTTTGTGACATCTGATTTTCCCCTAACAAGCCATCACAAGTTTCAGCTACATCTGGACTGTGTCTACATTCTTGCTACCAAGAAAGTCCTTACGTGCAATTTCATACCAGGTTGGTAACTGAAAAGCATACTTATGTTGAAAGGAAAACATTCCAACCTTTTAACAGCTGCTTTCCATCCTGTCCGAGGACAAAAAATGGGAGATCATTAATCTTGCAGCTGTCAGTTTTACATAACCATCAAATCCCAGGACCTGAAGTTAGGAGTAGGTAATGCAGATCAAGCAGGAGTTGTTTGAGATGGAGTTCATAGAAAGTTAAGAGGAGAAAGATTATGAGGTCAGTTAATCCATCTAGTTAAGTGATCACTTTGAGGGGTATTGATAGGAAGAGAGGTTCAAGTACAAGCAACTTTTGTCAAATCAGCACTATGACTGGTTTTATTTGATTAGTTTTTTTCCTGGGGGGGGGGACAGGACGGGGGGGGACGGGACATGGACGGGGACACACGACTCTGAGGTGCTAGGAAACTCAGAAACGTGCTTTCTAGAAGGGAAACTCACTTTGAGGCCAAGGGGAAAAAAAAAGAAAAAAAAAAAGAGAGAATTGAAAGTATTTTTTGAACCTTAATTCTGAAGACTTTAGAGGTTTAGTCTGTATACTTCAATAACAAAATATAACCTTTAGAGAACTCAGTTCGTCTTTCACATTTCTAAGTTCAGTTTCCTTTTGCTCCAGAATGAAATGTAAGTCATCTTGGTTTTCTGATCCTTTTGGCTGTTCTTGTATTTGACTTTCATAAGCAGCAAGTTTTTGAGTGATCTCTTCAATATTAGCTATAAGATCTTGATTTTCAATCCTTGTTTTTTCACTGGCATTCTTCAGCTCCTGGATATCATGTTGAAGTGCTTCTTTTTCAGACAATACTCCTTCCAATTCTTCTCTCAAGAGATCCTTTTCTTTATCAAAATCCTGAATCAGTGATCTATGTTCTGTATATTGAGCTGAATTTTCTTCCTCTAGTCTCTCAATTTCCCGCTGCAAATGAAGAACTTTCTCCTCATTCTGGAGAGCAAGGCACTGCTGCTCTTTCATTTTTGCCAAGCATTCATTTGCAATTTGTAACAAGTTAAGAGAATCGTATTCCTCATTAGAATCTGAAATGCTGGACCCCATTTGCTCAAGCAAGTGGTACAGCTGAGTTTTTACAAGGGATCCGTGCGCTTGTTCACTTTCAAGTAACGTTGCTACATGGTCTTTTTCTGCAGTCATCATTTGTAGTTTCTTCTCCAAGTTTTCGGACTGCTCTTTCAACACTAACCAACCATCTTTTTCAGAAGTAATCTTTTCCAGCTCTTCACTTAATTCACCTCTTTCCTGAATGATTTTCTTATTTTCCTCACGAAGAGTATATGCTTCAGATGAAAGGTCCTCTTTTTCACGCACCAGAGATTCAATCTGGTTTTCTAGCTGCTGTAGTGTTTGAGTATTTTCACTTTTCCTAGTTAAAGCTTCATTCAGTCTCTCTGTTAATTCCTCCACCTTTTTCTTCAGGTCACTACTGTACTGGTTAGCAACATCTACTTCTTGCTGAAGTTCCTGAACTTTCCCTTGTTCTTGCTTGCACCTTTCCTGAAGGGTTTCTCTCTCTTCGCCCAAGCATTTTACTTCATTTAAAATATCCTTGTTTTGATCAGTAAGAGCAATGACCTTCTCTTCCAGTTCTTTCATAGCAGTGTCTTTTTGGCCAATGGAGCTTATTATTATGTGGTTCTCCTCCTGAAGACTAACAATTTTACATTTAAGTTCTTCTATCTCTAGCTGATTAGATGACAATTTTTCTGTTTCTTCCTGGAGGCGATTCACAGTTTCAAGAAGAACATCCTTTTCATTGAAAGCAGCTCGGAGTTTCTGTTGCAGTTCACTGACATCAGAAGCTTGCTGTTGTCTCATGGATTCAAACTCCTGGCTGATCTTTCCAGCAGATTCCCCTAGCTCAGTCTGTAGAGTTTCCATTGTCTCTCTCAGGCTGTTGTAACTGGACACTGCTTCTTCCTTCTCCTGAGCTAGCTTTTCAAGTTGTTCTCTAAGTTCCTGCATTTCAAAAACTAATGCCATCTTTTCTTTTTCAGAACCAGATAATAAAGTTTCATTTAGCTCAGAAATTTCTCTCTCGTGTTGCTCTTTCAGAGTCAGAGTCTCTAACTTATGCTCTTTTACTGTGGTTTCACAGTGCTGTCTTGCTGCTTGAAGCTCAAATTTGAGTTTTTCAATTACACAACAGTAATCTTCTTTAGTAAGCTGCAATTCATTGATCTTAAAGTCCAAGTCTTCCCGCTCATGAAAGTATTCATCCTTTATGCGACGGATTTCCTCTTCCAGTTTTAGTTTAACATTACTCATATAAGTTAACTCATCTTTTAATATACTATGTTGGGACTGAAGCTCTTCTAAACAATGCTCCAGGTGCCTAACCTTTTCTTCCATTTCCGCTTCTACACAAGGTTCCTCTTGTGTATCTACAACATGTATCTTGTTTTCTACATTTTTATTTAAGACTTCTCTCAGCTGCTCCAAGTCATGTTCATGCTGGTCAGTACGAGTACACATTTCACCCCTCGCATTTTTCTCTTTTATTAAGCTCTCCTCTGCCAAATTGTGCTGTAACTGATTTATCTGATTTTGCTTTTCCTCATTTTCTTTAGATGATATTTCAATCCTATGCATCAACTCGGACACCTCTTCCTGATGGAGAGTTTTTAATTTTTTAAGCTGGTCAATCAGATTTTTGATTTCATTATGGTAACACTGAGAGTTGCTTTTAATGGTTTCTTGCAGATTAGTCACTTCTTTGTTTTTGTCTTCATTCACGGTTTCCAACTGCTTGCTGAGACACAAAATTTGCTCCTCGTAAGTCGATTTAATTCTTTGGACATCATCTTGTAACCTTTTAACTTCTTTTTGGCTATCACTATGACATTCAATCTGTTCCACCAGCCCCATTTGTTTCTCCATTTGTTCCTCTAATTGCATTTTCAGCTTTATTAAGTCCTCATTGTGTTTGCACTGTGCATTTGCTAATTCACTCTTCAGAGCTTTTATTTCTTTCAGAGAGTCAATACTTGATTGCTCCAGTTGCTTCTGCAATTCTTCTGTCTTAGCCACTGCAGCCTAAACAAACATGCAAGTTATTAAATATTGGTACTTTAGTACACAGAATTTCCAAATAAACTGTTTATAATAATGAATTAGAAAATCTAGAAGCCCTTAGTTCTAAAAATTGCTATAGTTTTTAAATACCTGACTACATTAGGACAACTCAATCCAGAAGACACTGTAAAGGGTACAAAAACATCTGCAGAATGAGAAAGGAACACCAAGTCTTAAATTATGTGTACCAGCATAATTTGACAAAATGGTCATGACAGACTTCAGCTTTATCAACTCTTCTGAAAATGTATTAAAGACCAAATTACTTCTAGTGCATAAAGCCAGGTATCTGAAATATAACAATGTTCATCAACTGCAAGCAATTCACTCTTCATGTTATTAGTAATCGAGATTACTGACATCATATAGATGCCTTGGCTGACAGGCTCCTTCCTGTGAATATTTGAATGTAAACCTCCTATTCCCCATGGAAAGACAGAGCTGATTGACTGAAGCCACCAAATATGTAGGCTACTAATGCAGAGACTGAATTCTTTTTGAACAACTGCTGATCTAGCTGGTGCATAGAAGAATTTTATATTTATTGTCAGTCCTATAAAAGCTATAAATTAAAGGATACAGAGAAAATACGCCTTAACATATGAAGCCTTTAGATTTTTTTTTTTAAGGTAAACCAGAACACAGGTAAGTGAAGAAAAAGATTAAAATGAAAGTGACATACACAGTAAGCAAAACTAGAAAATAATGATAAACGTAATTCTGAAATATTTTAGTAATGTTCTGTTGCTCATTTAAGTACCTCTGCTTCTTGCTTTCTTTGAATATTTTCTTTTTTCAGAGCTACGCACTGCTGCTGACTTTCAGCTTTTTCCAGAAGTACAGCATCCAGTCTTTCTGTGAGAGCCTAATTTTAAAGGAGAAAGATCACTGAAAGAGTTTCTTAACAATGGAAGCCTGAACAATTCTTGCAAACATAGGAACTCACACATTGGTTACGACTTTTTTTGTCAATTAAACGGATCAGTCTGATTTTAAAAGTTATTTTCAGCCCAAATATGACAGATACGGAATACATAGAAAAACAATGACATCGAGTAACAGCTCCTGTTCAAAATCGTATTTTTGATCAGCTAATTGTTTATCACCATGGCGGGGTGTGTGGAGCTCCCCTTCCATAGAACAGAAATCTCCATCCAAACAATTGAAACAATTTTCAGGTTAATAAATTCCTCCTTGCTACCAATTTTCACTTTCACATGCTGTCTGTGACCCTTACTTTGAGAAAGACAGATGTTTTTGCCATATTAAAAAAATTCCAGTTACTTTCCTGGAAGTATTTCTTGTGACCTGCAACTTTAATTATGTGTTTCTGATCTCATCAAATGACTGTCTCAGAAGTTTTCTAAATGGCTGAAGTCTTTCCACAGTGGTCATTCTAAAACAAACAAAAGCCTGTCTAACCAGCTATACAAGGAAAAAGTCTTGCTAAGGAAATCATACTAACTATCCTGTACTATTCCTCCCAGAACTGATAGTGTTTTCTGAAAAGTGGAGTAAGGATATGGGAGAAGGAGGAAAAACGAGGTTTTAGCAAGTGTCTTGAATTCCTGAAAAATAATTACATTCAATTTAAGTAACAGTTTTAAAGCTGTTTCCTATTTACCAAATTATTTCTGTGGATTTATTTCAGCTAACATGATGTAATAATTAGAAACCCATTACATATTCCTACCTGAATAATATCATCAGCTCCGCCAGTAGCTGCTTTAGATCTGAGTTCTTCAACCTCTTTCTCTAGTTCTTAAAGTATAGAAATTTCACAGCATGAATTGACGCTCCATCACAGTAGCAAATTACTAGTAAAACCAGTGCCTAACAACACTCCTATTCAAATCAGATGTCTTTTACTTCATCAATTTTTGTTTGTTACTGAGTGATAAAAAGGACTAACACAAAGAGAACAAACATTCAACACTCCAGCCCTGACATTTAGCATGGTTTCCTGAGGAAGCAAAGCTTCCTTGTTTGGGTAGAGGGACCACAGATAGAGATTCTTCTGATGATCGTCTTACCTTCTATTTCATGAACAATTTAAGCCAGAGAAAAGATATTCAGTCCCTACTGGTTCCCTAAAAATAGGCAGCAGGTAGAAGAACAAGATCATATGAATAAACCCACTGAGGAAAAGCCTAGAGTAGCCCATCCCTATCCATATTGTTTCGCTGGGCAGCTACCAGCAGTCAGCATAACTGTAACTCCAAACAAGGGGAAGTGACACCAGTCCAAGTAATGGGCCACTGGAGGAAAAGGGACAGCAGAGAGGAGAGGGACAGCGCACGAGAGCACAGATACTTTTAGGTCGTTAACATAAAATCTTGTTTGGCATATTTTACAATTTCTTGTTAAAGAAGCCAATGATCAAACATAAAGTAGCTAAGTATTTTAAAGAAATCATTGTACTCTACAACAGTATTAATTATGCAAAAAAAAAAACAAAACTATCAGAGACATTCCCACTCCCACGTGCTTCCTCAAAAGCAGCAGCTGTCCCTGCAACCGATATGGGGAACTGACAGTGACAAGTCCCACTTCAACTCTTGCACAAGAGACATTATTCCATCATGCCTTACTGCCAGATGAAAATTAACACCTGACAAAAGCAATGCTTCTTTCTCTCCCCTTTCTTGCTTTAAGGACTTCAGTCCTTATCCTCCCACAAAAAACAGTGATATTGCAGGAAAAAAAAATCTGGAATGTTTGTCTAGAAATTAAGTCTACCTAGCAAAAATACGCAGTGACATTAGGAAAGGTCAGAGAGTACCAAGCATTAAGGCACAAATTGTTCTCTTTCCAGTAAGGTACCTGTACATCTTGACTTCACTTTCTGTATGAGCATCACTTGCTTTTTTGCAAACTTGATGAGATCTTCTTTGGGCAATGTGTCCAGCTGTAAAAAAAGCACATATTCGAGAAACCAGCTTCCTGTAACCCAGAGGTAAACAGAAAACAAGGCATTTTAGCGTCCGACTTCAAACAAGTTAAACTTTAGGGCAAGAAACTGTCTTATGACACATTTGCAAGAACAATTAACAGTCCACGTTACTGCTGTTCTGTTATCCAAATCTGTTACTTCAAGTGCAGTAACAGAAACTACTCCTAATTCTGTACTTCTCCAAAACCATTCTAGAGCACGCAACTGTGCAGCATCTCAGTTAGACAAGAAAACTGAGTTGGGAAGAGTCACAATTCAGTAACATAACTTGAACAATGTTTTGGAAATAGCATGCTGACATAACATTGACACTGTTTAAATTTACTTCCAACACATGCAAAGAAGTCTGTGTACATTATGAAACAGACTACTGCCAAAACCAGATGCTACTAGTATTTTATCAAATGTTATAACAGGAAATGAAAAGATCAATATGAGATTTTTCCATGTTTTCTGGAACACCTTAGCCTAGTGTTTATAAATCAATTTTTCAAGAAGTCTAAAATACAGGAAACAGTTTAAAAATACCTTTATGTCTTCCTATGAGTCACAGCTTGCATGCTAAGCTGTAACCCTTTCAACTACTGCTATCCAAATAAATTGGACCTGTGAGCACTGATTACCTTTGATTTGCCTGATCCTGGTGTGACAGAGGACGCCACCATCTCTTGCCCAGCATCTTGAACCTGCAACAAAATAAAGCACAATCTGTGGTAACTGAACTTTTTATCATCAGACTACCAAAGGAACTGACTGAAAGTCTGCAAACGCTGAGAATGACCAAACACAGTGAGAGCTCAAGACAAAAGTTAAAAATGTATCTGTAGGACTAATCAGAAGGATAATGCAAAAAAATTCAACAGAGATCTATCATGATTAGCACAATACAACAGCAGAATAAAAACCTTCTGATTTCCAAACCCCTATGGTGTTATAATTCCACTACTGAACTGATATCTAGAGTTAATATACTACTGCAAAAATAATTTTATTTACAAGAGATTACAAAGGCATGACTCACTATCTTGTTCTTAAAAGATCCATTAAAAAAGGCATGAATGAAAAAAACTTGCAGAGGACTGGCAGTTAAATCAAACTTGGGGAACTTTCGAACCACAGATACCTCTCAACTTTTTTTTTTTTCTTTCTTTCTTCAACACACTGGTTATGGCTAAAATTGTTGGCCTAACAAATATATCTGAAAAGACTCTGCAAAGCCAGGGTTCTTTTGAACAAAATATAACCCTCTCTCCCCAGGCTGTTTTTTTTGTTGTTGCTTTTTAAACACACTGGTTAGCACTAGAAGTGCTGGCCTGACAAACATATTTGAAAAGGCTCTGCAAATTCTGGGCTCCCTATTCCTGACATACACGCACAACGCCTCCTACTGTGAACTTCCACAGATCTGACCTGGGAGGCTCTACATTACTCTGAAGCGGTTTATACGAGATATACCGAGGAATGTGAAGAAACTCACATAACTAGATGGGGCAAAGGAAAATGGAACAGACGCTTCCATTAGATTAAGGGTAGCATTTCCAAGCTTTGACCTTTACCCTGCTTTTTCCTTCATACTATCCTATGTGTGTGGGTGTATAAAAGTGAAGGGGTGTATATATAAATACTTGTATTTTTATATATCTATGTGTTTGTGTGTGTGTACATGTATACACACATTCCCCTTCACTTTTATTTTGCTACTCTCTCTATTCTAAAAGAAAAAACAAAACAAAACTCTTATAATAGAAACTAAGGAAAAACAAACTGGATCTAAACACAACTGGCATAGAGAATCACTAACAATTTGAAGAGAACAGCAGATACAGATAATAAGAAAGGCCATAATTAGAAATATGAGTTCAAGTACAGACCAAGGACGAAGGCAGTTACAATTATCTCTCTCTGTATGACGTGGCCTATAGGGTTTTTTTTTTGAGGTGGCAAAAGCAAACTTATTCAAAAATAACGTGCCCATTAAACATAGATACAGCATTAAAAAAAAGCAAAACCTATAAACTTTAAGTTTCAGATTTTCTTGGTACACAAAACTGTGTCAACATTTACATTCTTAATATATCAGCACTGCAATTTGCAAAACACTGTAACTACAAGCAGTATGCTTACACAGTATAATTAAGTATAACGAATTGTATGTACTGTTTAGAAAATGACAGCGCACGTCTCTCCATTCTACAGTGAGGCCAGGTGAGTCTACACATTACTTTTACTCTCCTTCAAGCTAATATGCAGAGAGGCAGAACCACGTATCGTGCGAGACAACGCATCCAGTTTGCTGTTCTGGTAACAGAAACTGGAAGCAGCTCGTGTAGAGGGCTTCATCCGTTTGCATCAGAGCAACGACAAGGAAGAGGAGTTACTAAAAAACCCTAAACTTTTCACTGATTAGGTGCACCCGAGCTGTGAGCCAGCAGGCTGTAAGTACATTTTTAAGCACAACCCCGAATCCTGCAAGAATTCTCAAGTTTCTATTCCACCATTCTGAAACCAGGGCATGCTTTCATACTTTACTGAGATACAGAGAAATAGATACACTTTGTTTTCATTTAAAGCCTACTTTATCCAGATTAAGGAGTTGCCAAGCCACAGCTTAGCATGTTCCGTGTATTTCAACTGCTACCTCCGCCTTACTTTTGCAATAGATCTGAGACAACGATCTGGGAAAACCTAACCGGTGTATAAATGCAATATATGAAACTTCGATGTGAACTCTGGCAGTAACGACCCTTATGAACAGCAATTTTCTGAGTAGTGTGCCACTTTTAGACATCACCAACTCTAATCACACCAAGTCACATCAAAACACACTCGGGAGTTGTGACCGCTTCAACAAAATAGAGGCACGGCTAGAACGTGCGCCGCTCAGAAACCACCAGGAGAGTTAATTTCGCGTACGAATTTTAAACTCTTCAACGTTGCTTTTGCATTTGCCTTGGTGGTTACGAAAGCTACAGTAGATACATAAGCTTCAGTGATTTTATTCGCTTCTGCTGGTGGGTGTTTCATAGTGGACGTACCGTTAACGCAGCAGGTCACCTCAGTAGAAAAGGAACGCCTGTTCACTCGCGGGTACTCTTGAGGAGTAACCACTCGACACGCTCACGGCACGTCACCCGAGCGTTCCTTCCCTGGAGTCAGCACCGGCTGACCGCCGCCACCCCCTGCAAAC